TAGAATTCTTCTAAGCCAAACTGCTTCACAAGCGGCATCCGCAGCTGCAATGTATTCCGCTTCTGCAGAAGATAGTGCTATAGTCCTATGCTTCCTCGAACTCCATGAAATAATATTTGTTCCAAGACAAAAGATGTAGCCCGATGTACTTTTGCGGTCAACAAGTGAGCCTGCCCAATCACTGTCAGTGTAGCCAACAAGGTTGAAGTTATTTTCCTTTTTGAACTCAATGCCTTGATTTTTTGTACCTTTAAGGTATCTCAAAATTCTTTTTGCCACCGTAAAGTGATTCTTGCTTGGTTCATTCATGAACCTGGAAAGTAAACTCACTGATTGAGTGATATCCGGCCTTGTGTTGAGGTAGATGAGTGAACCAATTAACTTTCGGTAGAGTGTAGCATCTACTTTTTCAACATCATCATTGACTTGGAATTTTTCATTCGGCCCCATTGGAGTAGAGACTGGCTTGCACTGGTTCATGCTGAATTTTTCTAGAAGATCATCAATATACTTCTCTTGAGATAAAAAAAATTCTTCCCGGGCTTTGTTTGACTTGGATGCCAAGAAAGTATTTCATTTGACCCAAGTCACTCATCTCAAAGTCTCTCATCATCTTTTTCTTGAATTCTTCCACCATGCTTTTACTTGTACCAAAGTATAGAAGATCATCCACATAAAGACATACTACAAGAAAGTCTCTTCCAAGATTATTGACATATAGAGATGATTCACTCGTGCTTCGATTGAATCCATTTTGGATGAAATAGCTATTGATTTTGCTATTCCATGCTCGCGGCGCTTGCTTTAAACCATAAAGTGCCTTGTATAAACGATAGACTTTTCCTTCTTGTCCTTTGATTTCAAATCCTTCGGGTTGCTCGACATAAACTTCTTCTTGAATTTCACCATTTAAGAATGCCGATTTTACATCAAGTTGATAAACACATACCTCCAATTGAGCTGCCAGTGCCAAAACAGTACGAATTGTCTCCATTCTTGCAACCGGAGCATATGTTTCAGTGTAATCAATTTCGGGCTGTTGAGAATACCCTTTTGCAACAAGACGTGCTTTGTGCTTTTGGATCGACCCATCTTCATTGTATTTTATTTTATAGACCCACTTGAGTCCAATGATTTTCTTCCCTTCTGGCAAGGCAACAAGCTTCCAAGTTTTGTTTTTCTCGATTGTGGACATTTCTTCATTCATGGCTTTTGTCCAACATACTTCTTTTGAGGCTTCTTCAAATGATTGTGGTTCACTAGAGAACAACCCAAGTTCACATGACTCATATATGTCTTGTAGTGAACGTGTCTTTCTTGGAGGGCTTTCTGGATCAGATTCTTCCTCACTTCTTGGAGTAGGGTTTGGATTATGCTCTAAATTTCCAACTTGTGACGGACCTGCTTGAAATGTTAATGGATCAACAAAATGGTATGGTGTCTGGTCCACAACTTCTTTCCCTTTCCAATCCCAAGATGCAGCTTCATCAAAAACAACGTCTCGTGAAACTGTAATTTTGTTTGTAGTTGGATCTAATAACCGATATCCTTTAGATTCATCACTATATCCAACAAAGACAAGTTTTTGAGAAGGGATAAGAGCATAAGCAATGCTGCCAAATATTTTGAAGTGATCAACCATTGGCTTCTTTTTGTTCCAAGCTTCGTATGGAGTTTTATTCCGTACAGCCTTTGTTGGAGACCGATTGAGAATGTATACTGCCGTATTTACAGCTTCTGCCCAATACAGATTTGGAAGTCCTTTGCCCTTTAGCATGCTTCTTGCCATTTCAACAATTGTGCGATTTTTTCTTTCGGCCACGCCGTTTTGTTGCGGAGTTCGACTCACAGTTAATTGTCTTTTGATGCCATTTTTTCTGCAGTATTCCATGAAAGGATTATAGAGATATTCACCTCCACGATCGATCCTTAAAGTTTTTATCAAAAAACCACTTTGCCTTTCTGCTTGAGCTTTGAATTGAAGAAATGTGGAATATGCCTCAGATTTTTGACTGAGGAAGAAAATCCATATCATTCTTGTGAAGTCATCAACAAAGAGAATAAAATATCTCTTGTTTCCAAAAGTGGGAGTTTGAATTGGCCCACAAATATTCGAGTGCACAAGCTCAAGTGGTGCTTTCGTTCTCCATGAAGTTTTTGGAAACGACAACTTGTGCAATTTCCCATAGATGCATCCTTCGCACATTTTGTCTATGTGTTGGATGTTAGGAAGTCCCGTCACCATGTTTTTCATTTGGAGTAAACGAAGGCCTCTTTCATGAAGATGACCATATCGTAAATGCCACAAATACGTCAACTCTTCGTCTCTTGCCTTGAGTGCACAATTCTCATTTAGTGGCATCATAAGAGGAAATGTCTTATTCTTCATTTCAATATTTGCCACACAAATATTTTTCTTTTTGTCAAAAACTTTACATGCACCATTATCAAAGTGGACAGAGAAGTCACTTTGAATAAGTTGTCCAACACTTAGGAGATTATGAGAAAGATTGGGAACATTAAGAACATCTGTGATGAGTTTCTTGTTACCTTCTTTAATTTGGACAGCAATGGTGCCTTTTCCTATCGCATCTCTATATGTTCCATCGCCAAGAATTACTTGTGAAGTAATATTTGGATTAAGGTCCACAAAGATGTCGCGATTCCCCGTCATGTGATTGCTACAACCGCTATCCAAATACCAAGGGCTTTGAGCTCCATTTTCATAATTTTGAGAATAAAACAGAATTTCCTGTTCATTCTCTTGAGAAAAGTTTGCTGCACTTTTTCTTTCTGTCATCTCTTTATTTTGAAACCAACAATCCCTTTGAGAATGATTGGGGATCTTGCACCTTTTGCATCTAAAGTAGCACTCCTTTGATTCATGATTCATTTTTTTTGCAAATTATGCAAGTTGGATTGTTACCACCAGAAATTTGTGTTTGCTTGCCTTTCCATTTGCTTTGCTTGTCACCCTTCTTCCAATAGCTATCTTTTTGTTTTGTTTGATTTGAGCTTCTGTTGTGTTCTCCATAGTTGTTCGATCCTCCTTTTGATGTTTGCTTTGATTGGAAAGCTTGTTCGGTAGTAGATTGGTTACTCGAACGATTGATCCTTTGCTCATGGGCAAGAAGTGACCCGGTTAACTCATAAATGGTCATTTTGGACAAGTCTTTCGATTCTTCAATTGCGGCTGCACCATGGTCAAACTTTGGAGGAAGGCATCTTAACATTTTCTCCACGACTCTTTTATCTGTAATTGTGTCACCACAACTTTTGATTTGATTTACTGTCTCGGCTACTCGTGAAGAAAAAACACGAACCGATTCTCGTTCTTCTATTTGGAGATTATCAAAGTCTCTCCATAAGGATTGAAGTTTCAAGGCGATCGTTTTCTCCGTTCCTTGAAATTCTTGCATCAATATTTCCCAAGCATCTTTGGCTTTTTTAACACCAAAGATACAAGGGAAAATTGATTTTCCGACTCCTTGTTGAATATAGCGGAGAGCCATTGCATCTTTTCTTTTAAATTCTTTTTGAAATTTTTCGTAATCTTCATTGTCTTCGGATGGTTCTTCGTACTCCTCATCGTCAATGACATCCCAAAGATCTAAGGAGATGAAGAAAGTTTGCATTTGGATGCTCCAGTGTTCATAATGCTCGCCTTCGAAGATTGAGACTTGACTGGAAGAATATGTAAACAACGAAACTGTTTGTATGAAAGCCATGAAAAAATGCAATCACAAGTTATGGCTCTGATACCAAATTTGTTAGTGCGGAAACGAAGTGTTGAAGAAAAACTTGAATTTTTATTGATAGTTTTTGAGTTGCTACAGCACACTCAATAATGTTTTTTTTTTTCTTTTTAATGAGACTACAAGAATGACCTCTATTTATAAGACCACATGGATAACTCTAGAGACATGGGAATATAAATGGATACCTAATAATTCATGAATTTGTATCATGTATTTTCCTGATACATTTTATTCAAGTGTATCATGTATTTTCTTGATACATTTTCTTCAAGTGCATGTAACCTTATTTATTTCCTAAGATTACAAATTAATGCCACATTTAACACAAGCATGTTATCAGACGATGTTTCTTTGATGTAATACCTTTATACCAGACTGAAACTGAGCTTCCCAAGTCCTGGGATACTGTTGATTAATCAAATAAGTGAATATTAATAATTAAGAAAACGAGCAATATATAAAATGAATATATTCTTATTTCTTACAACATGAAATCATGGACTAATGAATTGAATTGACTAATTTCTTACAGAATCAGCAGAGTTATGCCATGCAGATAAGAAGTTAATTTCTTGATCATTTGGTTCTTTATAGATCCATTTATGGCTATGATCTGCTGCCACTTTTCCAATTAAACTTCATAAAAATAAAAAAATAAAAAAAAGGATCAGCTTGTTTGTATCATTGCTACTGAATTCATCCAATAAAAATGGTAAATATAAGAAGGATTTTCTTGATTTCTCCTTACCCTTCACCATAATTGTAGATTTCATGGGACATCTTGAAGAACAGCTCAGGCTGCAGTCCCTGATAGTGTTGATACTCGTAAACCGAGGAGCCGGCAGGACATTCACTAGGATTAATCTCAGATGTTGAAGCAGCAAAATTGCAGAAACCATCTTCCCAGACCAATATCCTGAACATTACATCTTCGGCATAAATAATTCAACAAAAAATAAGCGAATTTGCATAATTTAGTACTCATATAAAGACCCATGTATATATATAAAATACCAGTTCCTCCTGTTGCCTCTCGATCTGTCATATCCTCCTTGGCCATCCCACCTAGAAAATATAGAAAAAAAGAAGATGAATTGTTTACAGATTGCATTGGATCTAACTGGCTTTTTCGAAGATTTAAATGGAAACTTTTCGATATTTCATAATATGCAAGAATTTGATGAAAATTGAGCAGTATTTTTTACTTTGGAGGGGGGTAATTTCTTGGTAAAATCCTCCAAAAAACTGCATAAACCCATTGTGAATTTTCATGAATGCATAAGTTCCTTAGAGTGTGTTGAAGAAGATGATTAACAGCTAAAGGATTGAATTGTTCTTCCATTTTTTAGCCCTTTTTTCCTTCACACTGAATTGATTTTAGTCCCTCTGACTAACATCTCTTTACTCCCTTTATAAAATGACCAATCCCTTTCATACATGTTCTATGTCCTACTTCGTTTGAAAATGTGAATCTTAAAATTTATTGCACCGGTCATTTGATATTACATTAACACTTATAATTCCACCTTTCATACATGCTCTCTCCCAAATTCAGTATTTAATAACCTACACACACACACACATGTGAGTGTGTGAATTTGAACTTCGTTTTAGCATTGTCCTAAATGAACCTTATGTAATCACGCTTATTTCCTTATTCAACAAAAAGAATACATGAAACAATTAGGTATTTTTCTTTCTCCTTGTATATGTTAGGGGTGCTAAGATTAGCTTGTTACACCTTAAAAATCCCGCACAAGTTTGTTTGATAATGGAAGTTTAGGGGGCAAAACAAACGATGGCCTTTTGACACTCAAGTTCACACCTTTACAATTTCGTGAGATATTTACAAGGATATATTTACATACTAAAATCGTCTTATTACTCAACTGATGTAGATAGAATTAGGGTTTCGATAGATTGATGAGCGCTTCATTCAAACTTAAAAGATAACGTATATACCCCAAATTATTAGTAATGCTTGCAGTATACGTACCATATCAATTTTCATCTATGCTAAACTTTAATATATTGCCAAAACTAGTCAATCTCAATATAGGGTTCACTACATTTCACAGTTCACAAATGCGTTATCTATGATATATAGTATTTACTATATAAATGGGACGAGCAATAGAATAGAAAATTCATATGATTTTTCCTATCTCACTGGTATGTAGTTTCCTTTCTTGACCAAAGAATGCCCTTTATCATCTAATGTGCGCTTGATACATACAAACTATCCACTAGTAATTAACAATTCTTCTTCTTATCAAATTTCGAATCACACCATTAAAAAAATCTTGGCTTTAACACCCCCTTACGAATAAAATGGATTTTATTTCTTAGATTAAATGTTAGATACATGTACAATTCAACCACTATACTTAGTATTTTTTTATATTAAACGAAATGAATGTAATCGTAGTGCAGACTTCCGACTATAGGCACAAAAGAAACTAATCAATCTTGTTCGTAGACAAGAATGACAATATCAAAGTTTAAAAAAAAAATAATAATAAAAAAAAATAACCACCCTTGAAATGACCTAAACATGGGATCAAATTATTCACCCCTCATTTGGTATGGATTAAAATTCTATTTTTAATTTAAATCGAAGTCAACAATTAATTTTGACCACATATTTCATGAAATTTTTAATTTTTTGACCATATATTTTATCAACTTTTATCAAAATTTACTAAAAATCTAATTATAATCCCATCAAACAAGGGCTCAATTGCAATTCCAAAAAGGGTCTGGTAATGAAAAGTAAAAATGCTAGTGCATAAATACAGTCTCTTCTGAGTTTGTACTTTATATATACTGTTCATAATTAATCAGCTCAATGACTGACGTATGATGGGTACAAATTTGTGACAGTAGTTAAAAGGACTAGTTGAATTCTCAAGTGCACTTTTATCAGTCCATGGTAAGTTTCTATTTTTTGCTACGATAAATACTGCTTCCTAATAGGATATGCAGTTGGAAATACATTACATCAGCAGAAAGTGATGCTTAATATCAATGACTTTTACTTTTCTATCTGTCAATTGAGTCACAGAGTGACGGTCAGACATAAATGCATGATGATAAAAAAAGCTAGACTTTGATGTCATGTTTTCTACGATGGACCATGCAGTATTAAACAATATTGAAAAATTTGCATCGTAAAGTCATCTTCAATTTTCAATACTACAAGCCGTGATAGTATGTTTGATACACTGATCTCGACAAGATATACTGCAGATTCAAGTTAAATGTACTATACATGTGTTGAATGCTTTGATTTCTACCCTCCTATTGCACAAGGAGATTTGATAGGACATAACAGTATTTGACCGTTCATTAACAAGAAACTGTACTGTTGTAAGATTTGAAAATTATGCAGCTGTTTACGATAATTTTAGGAATAGGATTTTTTTTTTTTTTTTTGAGAATGTGTGGTTAAAATGAAAGAAAAAATTTCAATTTACGTGTAATATTATTTTATGAAAGATTGTGTGATTGAAAATAAGAGAAAAAAATTATAATTTGAAATAATGGGGACCAAACGAGGGCTAAAAGCGAACATATATATTATTCAGAGTCTTTAGATACATGGTACATACTTACATACATAGATATATGTATGTATACGTGTGTGTATTATGTGTCGTGCATGAATGCACTACTCCTTAGGCAATGAAAAATAGAAAAGTTGGGGACAAATTATGAGACAGTAATGTAAGCAAATGAAGTATGCGTTGGAAAATTTTGATCCTAATAAAGGAATGGAGAAAAGAAATCAAAGAAACGAGAAATGTCGAAAATTGACTTAAATGCGTAATCCCTGTCTTGCAATTAAATTTGTCCCCTCTATGATTGTTTATTATGTTTAAAAGGACTCACGACAAATGATTTGTAGGATTTAACAAGACTTAGAAGCAGAAAGACACAACCATTTGTATTTTCTCCTTAAAACTTGAAGATCACTCAAAGGGCCGAATACGTAAAGAAACTTTTTGTAAGACTCTATCAATGGAATGATTTCAAGTGTTGGTAGTGTAATAGTTGTTTAGATTCTCAATCGTACATCACCAAAATTCGTCAACAGTTTATGCATAGATGGATTTTTCATGAAAATGGGCAAAAAACTAACTAGAAATTTCAAACTCAACAGTCAAAAAATTGGTCTAGGCGATCGCCCAAGCCAAAGTTTTGGCCTCAGGTTATTGAAAGCGACTCCTTTTTTCTTCTTGTTTTGTTTTCAATATTTTTATACTTAATCTACATACCTATATGGATGTATTATCACTCCAATATATTCATTATTATAAATTGAACACTAAATTACAATAATTCTTTAGTTGTTCAACTATATAATGATACCTCTATTCAAAGAAGCAACATTTATGCATATGGATTAGATATCTTTTAATTTGAATCTAATCATAAAGTAATTTTCACTAAGCATGATCGAAATTAAAGATAGCATGATATCTTTAAATGAGTTATTCCTTATGATAATATGGGTGAAAACACACGCACAAATGCCATATTTTCACAAGTTCATTAAACTCGTTTAGCGCTAATATGGCCTTGTGCTCATCCTATTCATTGGACTTTTAAGAGAGAAACTCCAACTCTTTATTAAGGCGACACCACCTTGAAGTTCATCTAGGTAAAGTTTTTCCAGTGTCTTATTACTTTTAAAGATACTTGAACTTAATGCTGAACTCCATTAAGAACTTCAAAGCCCAAACCTCCTTTAAGTAACAATCAACTTCATATAATTAGGATAGGGTGAATTTATAATGTTGAAACTATCCACTTATCTAATGACTTGTCGTTATTACCATTTGAATACGTGGATTACTGTTTCGGTAACGATGGTAGGGTTACTGTCATTGACTTTAATTAATTTTCTTACATAGTCATGTTTTAGATTCATATGTCTAGACTTCTCACTGTATACCTCATCGTATGCCTTTGTTAATGTGGTTTGACTATCATATATGATCCCAAAGGTATCTCATATAGTATATTTTTAAGCCACGCAGTTTCTTTCCTAGTATCTGATAATTGCATGAATTTAGATTCCATGTCTGAATGTGTTATGCATGTTTCTTTCTTAGACTTTCAAGAAATTGCCTATCCTCCAAGAGTAAATATTCAACACGAAGTAGATTTACTTTCACTAGTACTAGATATCTAACTAGCATAAGTAAATTCTTCTAATATAGCTGGGAACTTAAGAACTCTCCCAATAGCCTTTCAACGTTCTTTACTCGGGTTACTAGTAAACTTACTAAGTTTACTAATCGCAAATGCTATGTTCTGTCTTATCCATTGAAATGCATACATTAGACTCCATATAGCACTTGCATATTCCAATTAAACTATTGCTCTTACATCATTCATTATAAGCTTAGAACTTGGATCAAGAGGGGTACTTTATACTATTTTATATTCAAATATTTGAACTTATTTGTCGCATTTTCTATGTAACGTGATTGATTCAAATAGTAACCCCCACTATTCTTAATGACTTTGATATCTAATATAGAATCTATTTGTCCAAGATCTTTCATCTTAAATGTGGAAAGATATTGATATAGGACAATCTTATTGTAAATAGGATAAAAGTTAGATAACTATAATAAGATATCTAGATGTAAGTTTATCTTTTTATTCTTATTTTTAGTTTAAAATAGGATTTTTAATTTCTTTTAAATTAGAATTTTATTAGTTTCCTAGTATTAGGAGAAGTAGGGAATAATTTTGCCTATAAATATAGAGGCATTATATACTTTTATAATAGCAATAAATTATTATTCAATATATACATGATGTAATTGTTAAACTATCATTTTATTTATTACATAATTCTTATTATAAGATTTTCATAATGATTCCGCACCAGATATCCCTTTGTTTCTTTTATTTCATCTATGTGATTACTCAAAATTAACATATCATCAACGTGTATGCAAATAAATATAATAGATTTATCACATACTTTTAATACAAACACTTATCTACACTATTATGTATAAACCCAAATGAAATATTTGCTAAGTCAAAATTTTCGTGTCACTTCTTAGGTGCTTGTTTAAAATCATATAATGATTTTACTAGCTTGCATACCTTGTTTTCATTTATGCGTATAACAAACCCCTTCATGTTATTCCATATAAACCTCTTGATTGAGATTCTCATATAAGAATGTCGTTTTGATATTTATTTGATGAACATGCAAGTCATATATGGACGCTAATGCGAATAATATCCTAATTGATGTTATGCTAACTATTGGTACATATGCATCGAAATATTCTATTCCTTCCTTATGTTTATAACTTTTAGCTACTAATCTAGCTTTAAATGTATTGAGAGAACCATTTAATTACATTTTCTTCTAAACAC